CCTTTCCCTTTCCCTTTCCCTTTCCCTTTCCCTTTCCCTTTCCCTTTCCCTTTCCTTTCCCTTTCTCCATTAACCATCCCCTCTGCTCTTTACAAAACCGAGATAAAAATTCAGATAGCGGCTGCTGCAAAGGGCCAGAAGAGGTGAGAAGCAGCCAGCAGGGAGGAACATCCCCGAATTGGGATGCTGAGTGTGGTGTCAGAGGTGACAGAAACTCCGGGCACTCCTCCAGGCTGTGCTGGCACGGGCAGCGTTGTTAGAAAGAGTGAACAGAGCAACCCGAGCCAAGCTCTCCCTGCTGCCCCAGCCCTCTCTGCTAATATTTATTAACTCGGCTATTTCAGGACTAAAAACCCAGCGTAGCTGAGCTCTGAGTCAGAGTTCTCGGTAATAACCGCCCCAAAGCATAACATTTCTCCTCCCGAGGTGGACAGAGGGCTGAGGAACCTCTTTGTCCGTGAAGGAAACAGGAAGGTTTGCAGACAAACTGTGCTGGCTGTTCCTCACTTTATTCCTTCTCCTCCTCCTGTGGAAACTGCTGGTAACGCTTTCCACGGAGCCTYGCCTCAGATCACCCCTCTCCTTAGATGCTCTGCTCCGAACAGGGCAGCGTGGATTTTTGGAACATCTCTGAGCCTCTGGGAAAGGGGGCAGTGGAAATGAACAACAGCTGAAAGGGGCTGGAGATGACCTGCTCTGCAGGACTGGTGTTTTATAGGCCAGGAAAGGCTCTCACCCTGAAAAAAACACCTTGCACRGCTCAAATTTGTTTATTTTCAAGGAAATTGGGGCCCTGTGATGTGCAGGGAGCAGCCATGCTCAGGACACAGAAACTCCTGACAGAGAGCTGCACCTTTGGGATCCCTTCCTTCCTCAGGGGATGCACATTGGCCTTCAGCAAGCTTCTCCTTGAGATTACCACCCCCAAAATGTTGGCATAACCCCCAAATGCTGCATTCCCTGGGGTGCAGCATTGGGCAGGGAGGGAAATCCAGGCTGCAGTTTGGGCAGGTTTAATCACAGATCTGTCAGCAGGGCTTGGGAGCCTGGGACTCCCTGGAGACACTCATGGTAGAATGAAAGAATAGTCTAAAGCTGTGCCAATGGAAGTTTAAGTTAGATACTAGAAAAAAATTCTTCATTGTGAGGGTGATCACACACTGGAATTGTCTGCCCAGAGAAATGGTGGTGTCACCATCCCTGAGAAAGATTGGACATGGCAGTCAGTGCCAGGGTTTGGTTGATGAGGAGGTGTTGGGCCATTGGCTGGACCTGATAATCTTGAAGGTCTCTTCCAGCCTGGTTCTGTGATTCTGTGATTCTTTGTGATTCTGTGATTCTGTGATTCTTTGTGATTCTTTGTGATTCTTTGTGATTCTGTGATTCTGTGATTGATTCTGAGATTCTGTGATTCTGTGATCTGTGTGATTCTCTCTTGTGTGATTGTGTTATTATGTGATTCTATGATTCTCTGTGGTTCTGTGACTGTGTGATTCTCTGATTGTGAGTTTGTAACTCTGTGATTCTGTGATTTTCTGTGATTCTGTGATTTTGTGTGATTCTGTGATTCTGTGATTATCTGTGATTGTGCAATTGTGTGATTCTGTGATTCTCTGTGATTCTCTCTTGTGTGATTGTGTGATTATGTGATTTTGTGATTCTCTGTGGTTCTGTGATTTTCTGTGATTGTGTGATTCTCTGATTCTGTGATGTTGTGATTCTGTGGCTCTGCATTTGTGTGATTCTGTGGTTCTTTGTGATTCTGTGATTCTCTGTGGTTCTGTGATTCTGTGATTTTGTGTGATTCTCCCTGACTCTGTGATCCTGTGATTCTGTGTGATTCTGAGATTCTGTGATTCTGTGATGTGTGTGATTCTGTGATTCTCTCTTGCGTGATTGTGTGATTGTGTGATTGTGTGATTATGTGATTCTGTGATTCTCTGTGGTTCTGTGTGTGATTCTCTGACTGTGATTTTGTGACTCTGTGATTCTGTGATTTTCTGTGATTGTGTGATTCTGTGATTTTCTGTGATTGTGTGATTCTTTGATTTTCTGTGATTGTGTGATTCTGTGATTTTTTTGGTTCTGTGGCTCTGCATTTGTGTGATTCTGTGGTTCTTTGTGATTCTGTGATTCTCTGTGATTCTGTGATTCTGTGATTTTGTGTGATTCTCCCTGACTCTGTGATCATGTGATTCTGTGTGATTTTGTGACTCTTTGATTCCGTGATTTTCTGTGATTGTGTGATTGTGTGATTCTCTGTGAGTCTGTGAGTCTTTGATTCTGTGATTTTCTGTGATTCTGTGATTCTGTGATTCTCTGTGGTTCTATGATTTTGTTATTCTCTGATTCTGTGATTCTGTGATTCCGTCTGATTCTGTCTGATTCTGTGATTCTGTGATTTCCTGCAATTCTGTGATCCAAAATCTCCCTGCATACCCCTCCTGTCTGTGGACACACCACAGGTTCCTGCATCTCATTGGGTGGGAGGGATACTCTGTGGAGAGCTCATCACCTCAACTTTGCTTTCCATCCCAATCCTTCCCTCCTTCCATCCTCCACATCTCTTTTGCTGACAACATTCCTGCATCACTTTTGTCTGAACCAATCCACACTCATATCCCCTTCACTGGGTCATCTTCTCAGCAGCCTCTGTTTTTGGGAGCTCTTCCACAGGTTTTGCTGAGTTTGGAGAGAGCCAGAGTGAGCCTCAGGAAGGGGAATCACATTTCTAGGCAGGTACATCGACGTGCTGAGCCTTTCCTCACAGCCTTTGAGGATGGTGGTGCTTTCCCAATACTTTATTTAGGGTTTTGGACTGTTTAAGCAGTCAAGGACAGCAAACCCAACAGGAATGCTGACCTTGCTCCACCAGTTTTAAAAACTTCGCTTGAGATACGGCACAAGAAACACTGAAAGGAGGGAAAATTCTCACTTTTGKGTACATCTGCTGACTGCCATATGAAATGTGCATTTGCCAGGGTTTTTCCAAGGCAGCACAGGCTGTAAAAGCCCCAGAGACTCAGGGCTGGAGGYGAGCACCTGCTCCAGCTGACTGTCCTAAGCAAAATGATTTCACAGAGCAGCATCTGCTGTGGTGACCTTCTGGAGGAAGGAAAGCAGGAAATATAGGGTGAGGAGGAGAGGAGGCAGACAGTCACATGCAGGTTTGCGTGGAAAGTGAGATTAAAATGTAAAAGACAAAATAGTGACAAGTTTTAAGGTGATCAGAAAAAGAAATGAGAAAAAAAMCACATTGGGATGGTGAAGAAAGCAGAGGATCTTTTGAAGATCAACTGGACAGCCTTACTATGGTCAGAAGAGCAACTCATAGTCAAAAGTTAGAATAAAATACAAATAAAAAGTGCCTGAAGTGCCTATTTTTAAATTTTGCTGACACTTTTCATGTCAGTGTAAATTATGCTGTTTGAGGCATTAATGGTTTTTCTGCTTGGAGAGTGGGGTTTTCTACATCCCAGGCTGTGAGGATCTTTGTATGCTTCTGCCTGAATAAGCTGAACCTCTCTGGAAAAACTGAATTCTGAAAATAAAAAAAAAAGGAAAAGACATTGGTAGACAACTCTAGTACAACCTGCAGAAAGTATGGGATTTTTTTGAGCTTTTTTATGGGTGATGGGATTCATTCATCAGCTATACAGCTCTGTAAGTCGATTTATATAGTTTTCTCTTCATGGCTGCAGGGTATATGGGATGGCCTCTGCCTGTGTGGGGGGCACAGACATATTTTCAGCTGAGTAAATAATTATTTATAACAGTTTTATAAATCTTATTTCTGCGTAGATGACTGCAGGGGGGTGATCCTGCAGACGTAGCTGGTTGTTACAGCACTGACCACATCCTTTGACAAAATTGTCAAAGGAAGACTTCAGACTAATAATTGGAGGGTTTTTTTTATATTTTTCTCCTGAAATCCCACAGAAAACGGGCCCCGTCTCCTGGTGGTAGCAGAGCAAGCCAAAATCTTCTCCCAGCGCGGCGGCAACATCACACTGCCATGCAAGTTCTACCACGAGCACACCTCCRCCGCCGGCGCCGCCGGGCCCCACAGGATCCGCGTCAAGTGGACCAAACTCACCTACGATTACCTCAAGGAGGTGGACGTGTTCGTGGCCATGGGGCARCACAAGAAGAGCTACGGCAGCTACCAGGGCCGGGTGTGGCTGCGGCAGAGCAGCGAGAACGACGCCTCGTTGGTCATCAGCGGCATCACGCTGGAGGACTACGGCCGCTACAAGTGCGAGGTCATCGAGGGGCTGGAGGATGACACGGCGGTGGTGACACTCAACCTGGAAGGTAGGTTGTGTTTTCGGTCAGATTTGTGTCACTTTAAGAATATTTGGGGTTTTTTTTGCCCTCCTAGCACTGCTGGTATTGCGTGATCATTGATAAGAGGAGAAGCAAAATTTTCCATGCTCTGGGGAGCCATGGACTAGCAGCCCATGACAAAATCATAAATTGCAACAATATTAGGATTATTGTAACTTTTGTTAGCCTAAGGCACATCCAGCTTCCAGCCAGACCTGGTGTGAGAGGAGCCAGGAAAGGATGAGCAAATACAGAACCGAGAGCTCCACATGGTTTTAATTTGTTCCTGTCGTTTCACAGCAGCCACTGTGTCTTTTTTACCTGGGTGAAATTAAATTAAATTTCCCTCCTAACAGTAATTTTACAGAAWTTTAGGATAATTTAGATTACAGAGCAAATACGAATGTTCTAGTAAAGATGAAAAATGTTAACAGTAGTCATTCAGAGACGTTGGGTTTGGGTTTTTCCAGCCTTTTAATTACATCAATTCAATCTTTATGTTGCCTGCCAAGACAACTCCTACATGTAGTGTTTACTCATTTTCTTCAGCATTATTCTTGAAGAGTGTAGAGTGCAAAGCATTTGGAAAAGGAGCAAAACAGGTTTAAAGAGGACCAAAATTTCAGCTTTCCTTTTTTCCTTATGAAATTCAGAAAAATTCTAAGATTTTTCAAGGAGTACAAGAAAGTATTTGGCCTTTTTAAAATTATTTCCCCAAAGCAATGCAATGAACACAAAGGTAAAGGTTCATCAAAACCTAGAACATACTCTGACATCAAACAGCAAATGTGTGCCAGAGGGATCCTGAGAGAG